ACGCGTTCACCACCACACCATGTGGATCCATCGTTTCGCCTGTCTTTCAGCTAGTTCTATTGATCAGTGGCATCAGCAATCACTGGTCAGCGGGATGTGGTAAACGCTTTACTCACCGGAAAGGAAAATAGCGCGTTCGCTCACCACCGCAGACACCTGCGGTCCGGAGTTTTGCAAATATCTCAGCATCATTGAAGTTATATCTCAACATTATTGTGGTTGTATCAAATATAATACCCTGCCATAAAAAATTGTAACAGGCAGTAGAAAAAATACCTTTTTATTTTCTGCCTACTATAATTTCGCTGCGAGGTACTAAGCGAAATACAACCACAACGTTGCTGAGATATTTGCAAAACTCTGGACCGCAGGTGTCTATGTTGGGGAACGAACGCGCTATTGTCCTTTCCGGGGAGTAACGCGTTCACCACCGCACCATGCCTGTCCTTCGTTTTGCCTGTCTCTGAGCTATTTCTATAGAAATAGTAGATAAAATAGTTAACGTTACCAATCCCATCGTTAAGCTTTTCACTATGATCTCAGAAGAAAATGTGATGCTCTTCGAGTTCCGCGAAAGAGCGGTAGAAATTCAGCAACGACCGCATGTAAGAACGACAAATGGAGACCGTTGACGCCTGCTCGAGTTGTTCGATTATTAGTGAGAGTACAAATGATACTAGTGATATAGGCATAGCAACGCGTGTTTCCAATTCAAGCAGGAACTTGTTTAAACGTTTTAAAATTCTATTTACTGGAAAATTTCACGGGTGTTACAGAAGTGCTACTATTTATTCTCAACCTTCCTAGTGAAGAATAGCATTTTTGTGCTGACTCTCTAGCTTGACAAGGGATTCGCAATTTTTTAAACTCAATCCATCCGTACTTATCTTATGTTTAATCTCTATGCTGTTTCAGTGAGGCATGCTCAAGTGGACAAAGAGCTTGGTATTCCTCCCCTGGAGTCGTGGCGACGGGGATCGCTAGCGTCCTATCTTCCTCTACCTTTGTTTGGAAACACTTCACGACGTGGCTCAAGAAGGAGCAGTCAAGCGTCATATACGATCCCGAATGCTTTTGCCCAACCAATGTCATAATATACGAATTACTCTTTATTCGTCTCATTCTTATATTTTTATACAGAGAGTTGGTTGCTGGCGCTTTCCAAAATAATTCAGTATCATTAATGATAAGGATCATGAAGCAGAAGCTGGGTGAAAAAATCGGGCGTTCCGTCAAATTTTGACGTTATCCAATACAGCATGTTCCTAAGGAACTGTTCTGGTTCAGGTATGCCAATGAATGCATAGTGGTATCGCGGATGATCCTGTTGTAAACTTGAAGGGATCTCAGAAATGGAGAGTCCGACTTACACTGGGTGCTGCAAGGTTATAACAAAAATGATAGATATTTCATGCCGAGTGATGGGCGGACTCTTCATAACATTCGTGAAGAATTATAGGTCTTTCCCAAACTAATGTCCGATTTGTGATTTCATTTTTCTTCCATAATGCGTCAGAAGTCACACTGCCGACGCTGCAAAGGTTGAATGAGCTGGACTACTACAAAACTTTGTCTCATTCACAAACCTACCGATTAGTATTTCGTTAAGCATACCGACAACTCTATGTAAGAGAAATTTCTATAATTCTGTAAAAGAAATGCTTTGCAAACAAAGCCGAGACCGAAACTCTTTTCAACTTTTTTTAAGCAATCACTAAATGTTGACTTGTTTCCAATTGGCAACAATGTGTAGATTACAATGGTTTCTACTTCAATTAATAAAGTCTATTCGGAGCTGAGATATAATACCTTAAAAATACAGGTTGGAATCCTTCATTTGTTTTGGAAAGACGTAACATGATGTGAAACTGAACTCCTAAAATATGATAAAGTGGTTGTAACCCCTGAATACAAGAAATGAATGGAAAGAAAATTCAATAAAAGATGCAAAACGTATGACATTTAAAAAAGTTTAAAGGTCTCCGCGTCGACCACTCCTTGAGAGATACGCCATGCATTCGACTTCATTAAGTATCGTTAGAGGTGATTGAGTGCATATCTGGCCTTTACAATGACTCGCAATGGCCTTCCTTCCTGATGTAATCAGCGAGCGCTACTACCCTGCCAGACAAATCTGGTATCAACTTGCCGACCCCGGAGAGATGGGAAGGCTCAGTTAACTACGAGTGCGAGGATCGATCCCATGTGTAATTGCAAGGTGCCTCCAAAGGTATTCCCTGTAACTAAAACTTCTTAAAAGCTGAAAATGAACTCTGAATTACGCTATAAGCAGTGACGAATTCTGGCCACAGTACAAGTCTACGGGTCAAATTAAATGAATTATGAGCTGTAAATCAAATATACGATGCTTCTAAATTGTCCCTACTTAGTTTCTTGGAGACTTTATAAACCTAGAAGCTAAATGTGGTTGTTTCAAAATGGGAGGGACACCGATGAAAAACCGAGTATAACACATAACACATAACACCTCGTTCACATGAATACATGCGTTGTTATTCACGTCTATGTACGTTTATGTTCACAACCAGTTGATGTCAGTACATGTGTGGTCAATTCAGCTTCACAGGTTTACTGAAGTATGTTGTTACAAAACAATAAACAGAGTGGAAATCGTGGTGAAAACAAGTTGGTATCTAAAGCACTATCTATCTAAACACCCGTGATAATAACTGGTGAATCAATAGATAGAGATCTTCTCAAAAGTGGATCAAATAAAAAACAGTAATAAACAGCTTCTGAGCAATGTGGAAATAGGTGGAAAATATTACGGAAATAAAAGATAGTCCTCAGGAAATATAAGTTCATTTAAAACTCAAGCAAGCTCACGCCCGCGAATTAAATCACGAAGAAAATCATCTTGATCACGAAGACTGGCAATGCAAGGTGGCATTTCACCGTCGAACAGAACCTAAATGTAAATGAATAACCGAAATTCTACAATCAAGTACGATCTGGAATCACTCACATCCACAACGTTGAGAAGGTATTTCCTAAATGAATGGTTGAACGGGATCACCACACCAGCTTCGAGAATTTCAATACACAATTTGTGTAACTGTTCCATTGGCATGGTGGATGGATCAGTACGGTACATTTTGGGGAACGATCTCCTCATACCAGAAGGATCCTTGTGAGGCTTATCGCGATCTTAAATCGAAATTGCATATAGTTAAGGGTTAAGGAAACTTATGAAACTATTATTTCAACTCCTATATACATAATTCTTCGTATTTTTGTTGAGCAAACGCGAGGTGTTATTATTCTTTATTCACAAATGAGCTGACGTTTCGGCGGATTTCGCCTTCCTCAGAACCTGGAAAGGTCAAGTTGACAGCAATCTACTTGGCCAGACGCCTCCATAACCAAACAAAGAAACTCTAAACCAAGATTTCAATCACATTGAACACAGCTTTGCACACTCACCGCTTTCTATGAGGTCTCCACTAAGTATGTCACGTAGAGACCAACCGCACAGAAATCACATGGAAGTATAATGTACCCCACTCATCAGAATAGCAGTCTTATATACTGCCCTACATCACGCGTGATAATGAGGCATTCTTCCCTGCGGTTCATTTTCGGATTTCTGGAATTAATCCAGAGTGCCTCGAGAGTTTTTCGCGCCTGTGTTCTTGATTCGCGTGCAAGGGTCGTGACACATACTTCAAAGTCGTCCCCGTTATGTCTCTGGGTCCTGTGCGTGCCTAGCGGTGTATTTGGTCTATGTTTGCCGGCTAGGTGTTCTTTTATGCGGACACAGAGGTCCTTAATCACTATCGCGCGAAAAGATACAGCTCAAACCTCACTCTAGTGCAAAAACGTGGTATGCGAGAGGTACGAGA